AGATCTCAGGCCACAATGTGATGCAAGGTGATGATGATGGCATCAGGTTTTCACGACCATCTAATCTCGTCTGTAGCTAGTAGCATTCTGAAAATCCGATGCCAGTCCTTGCCTATATCCAGCGTCACCTACGTGTTCAGCTCTTACCGTCACATATGCTCGGGTCTCAGGGCGCGGTGTGACATCAATATGTCAAAGAGTCAAGATAGATATGGGAATCCTGCTTGCCACATCATTAACACAGCTTGAGGTGGCCGCGCATGTAGACCATGCTTGCTTTTGCCCCTGCTCCTGCATTATACTAGATCCAAGCTAGCTGCTGGTTGCCAGTTGCAGCCTTCTGGTGACAACTTCGTCGTATTTCGCCGTACAGCTAGACGAGTTCGGGAGGAAACTTCAAAACAAGGACATTGATTCTGCATACTTCTGCACCGCAGTACGCCGCCCAGGCGTGCCTCAATGTCACGGGGATCCGCCCACCTCGTCCGAGGCGGACGTGGAGTTTGGCGGTATTGGGAGCATTTGTGGTGCGAACGGACATGTGGCTTCGACATCTGGACACCCCGTGTGTTGGACATGTCGCTGTAAAAGCTAGGGCACATGCATGAAAACAGCATTATCGAGCCATGAAACCTCACCACCATGATTATTACGTCTTTACATCCGCACTGACCGAAATCCACAGTTCTTTCCGTGAGTGTGTGAGCTGTTCTCCCCTTGTTGATGGCCGCACTACCAAACCGTGTAGTGTAATTAAGTCCCACGGCTGATTCGAGTGCAACAAGGTCTCCTGCAGTAAACTTACAAGCCTACACGCCCCGCAAAGAACTGAAGAGGATGTCAAGACATACCTGCCGCGAAAATGTCCCACAAGCATCCATTCCAACTCCAGTGGGTATCAGACTATCAAGCCCGTTCCATTCTAGTCCCATGAGTAGATTATTTCAGGAGCAGAACTTCATTGCATGTTATGTGTGCTTTGAATTCCCACCAGGGCACATTCCAAAGCTGTATTGGTATTATAAGGCTCGTTCAGACCCTGCCCTTTTTGTGAATCCCAAAACTAGCCTGAATATCTCATCTCCTCGGGGCTCTCTTGCCTTTTACCTTCAATCCCGACCCATCAAACCAGCCAGGACACATGAGGTCGCTCATCAAGTTGTAGTCTTTGTGCATCTTTCGCTCTTCCAGGCTGCGGGTGATCTGACACAAAGACAAATTGAGCCGCCCTCAGAAAGGGCCAACACCCGTGCGATTATGGATGCATTCCAATGCGCTAGCCGGTAGTAGTAGCAGACGTAGTAGTTGTCGTCGTAGCAGCGGCAGTAGCAGTAGCAGCAGCAGCAGTAGCAGACGTAGTAGTTGTCGTCGTAGCAGTGGCAGTAGCAGTAGCAGTAGCAGCATCAGCCGCAGCAGCAGCAGCAGTAGCAGCGGCAGTAGCAGTAGCAGAAGATGCAGAAGCAGAAGCAGAAGCAGAAGCAGAACAAGCAGTAGTAGTTGTGGTAGTGGTAGAAGTAGAAGTAGAAGTAGTAG